TCACTCCCACCTGGTCACATGGCCGGCAAGTCACTCCCACCTGGTCACATGGCCGGCAAGTCACTCCCACCTGGTCACATGGCCGGCAAGCCACTCCCACCTGGTCACATGGCCGGCAAGCCACTCCCACAAAGCAGGCCACACCTACAGAAGAGGTTCTAAAAAATTTTGAAACCCACCACTGCTCTGTAAATATAAATTATATTAGTATATGCAGAATTGGAAGTCACAGATCCTTCCCTGCCGAGAACACACAGCAAATCCTCAGGCAAGCAATTTCTACAGATCTTTCTGAATCAAAATTTCTTGTATGTGCACACCATCAAATCTGTTTTCTTCCCTATTTTCACGAGACTCTGGCAGAGTACTAAGGTAAGAAGCTGTAAATCAGCCATTTGCTATTATGCCAAGTTACAAAAGTGTAAATCAGGCTGTAGTCTTTCCTCAATATTGCAAGAGCCAGATAGTCACACTATACATAGTACTGCATATAATGTATCAAGCAATTCAATATGAAATCATCTATTTTCATAAACCTCCCCTAGCAGCTATTGATTTCTTTGCTGTGCTAGTTTATGACCTTTCACCAGTTGTCTTCTGCATTTTGATGGACTGGTAACCATTGCCTCTAGTTCCAATCCAGATTCTCAGCATAGACCCTGCAGTTATAGAACCTGCTAGTGCTGGGGCTTGGCACCCAAGTATCTTTTTTGAAAAAACACAATTCATCTGATTTGGCTCTCAAACCTCAAACAAATTACAGAAGTATTAAATTAGGGGAGGTAGAATACAGAAATATCAAAATAAATAATTTAATAAATAAAATTACAACTATTAAACTAACTTCAATGAATTATACACTTTAAATAAAAAATCTTTGTATATCTTACTATTAATGTATCACAATTCTCATTTGACTACAATTATTTGAACATGCTTTTACCTCAAATCATTCATATTTTTCCTGATACAATTCTGATGAGATACATTGTGACATTATCAATGCCATTCCTGTAAGTGCAAATTCTTATCACACAATTAAAAGCTTATGTTATCTAGATCAATGTTTCCCAACCTTGGCAACTTGAAGAGGACTGGACTTCAACTCCCAGAATTCACCAGCCAGCAAATGCTGGCTGGGGAATTCTGGGAGTTGAAGTCCAGATCTCTTCAAGTTGCCAAGGTTGGGAAACATTGATCTAGATTATTTTTTTGGAAATTCCTATTTCTATACATCTTGTAACTCTGTAATATGTTTCCTTTGTAGGCATCTTTTGCACTATTTCTCTCTGTACTTATGCAACAAGTATATCCTTTGACTTAAACCGCCTTCCCAAAATTATCTATGGTCTGCCTGATGATGTTGAACATGGATACAGCTGGTCTATATTCTGTGCATGGTGTAGTTTAGGACTTATAGTAGCAGCAGGATGCCTTTGTACCACTTACCCACTTATTAGCAGGACAAAGATTAGCCATCTAAAATCTACCAGAGACTCTTCTGTATGACTTATTATGGGGATCCTTTTTTTGTTTATAAGGCAACAGGAAGATACATAGGGAGCTTAATTCAGAATCCAAGCACAAACAAAACCTGAATCCTTTAAATACTGAACATTGACTTAGTAGCCAGGAAACACAAAGGACATCTATGTTTCCATGGTGGCTGATATACCAAGTTCAGACAGCAAAACTGTTGTGGAACTAATGGTAATTTAGCACAATATATATGCATATGTCACAAATGAAATGGAACTATTTCTACTTGAACAAGTAAACTGTGTTGATGTTTCAATTGCTATTTGCTATCCAGTATCATGAGGTTCCGCTTAATGGCCATATAACTTGAAAATAAATAAAATGGCTTTAAAAAGATAACTTGCTATACAAGGTTAAAAAAACAAAAAGCACTGCCATATTATCCAGTCGGTAAGAATGTTACTTTATTTTAATTATATTTTATATTATTTTTGTCTTGTTAGGTGATACTTAGTCTTCTCTATTATTTTTAGTAGTTATTAGAATGATGTATGGGAGAGGTTTCAAAGATTTCTTGTATAAGAAATGAATGAATCATTTCTTTTTAGAAGAAACAGAAAGGTTCTAGAGTCGAATGACTTCCAGAAGGGGGTAGGCCACTTTACGTAGGAAAATTTATGCCTATACTTCCTTGAAACATTTTCATGTTTCATATACAATCCAATGCCATATTTACAAAAATGAAATGTATAAAATGAATTACAGCATTTGCATTATTGGAAATAATGCATACTATGTGTTTCAGTTTTTTTGTCTAAAAATAATGGCATATCTTCTATTAATAAAATTCTTGAACAAATTACTTGGATATGGTTCTTCTTATAAACAATACAGCCACAAATTACAAAGGATATTCTTTATTTGGTTACACCTGTTTCAATTTAATACATGCATTCCTGAATTTCTTAAGGACAAATCTACCTATGTGAAGTAGGCTCTTGCCTACCTTTGCAGCAATTCCATGGTACCAATGCAAAAGGAAAAAAAAAGTACCTTTACATATCAAATTAATTCTCAGCTATTTCCAGTACTGTAACGCTAAGAGACAAATGTATGGGCATGCCAACTATTTGTTTTTTTGTAACTGTCAATGGCACTGGCCATCCTTAAAATGGACATACTGTATACTGCCAGCAAAAATTATTTCTTCATAACTGACATTGCTCCAAATATACCTGATGTTGCCATATGACTATGGTAGGTCATGACCATTACATGAACAACTGGAGTATTCTCTTTAGGTTCTTAGAATTTATAGATGAACAGGAGGGATAATACAATCAATTTTCTACATTACCATTCTTACACATGCGTTATTAGGAAATGCAAATGTTAGACTTAAAAAGTTCCCTGATTTTGAATCAATTTACATAGTCCAAATGGTTATACTTTTCATTGGTAAATTAATATATAGTATTGGAAGTGTAACACAGCTATTGCATCTGAATCAGAATGGCTAAAACAGCTGACAGGCACTTATGTAATTTCTAATCCACCAAGCAGATAATATAACTGCTTGAATTAGACCAAATTTCTTGATTTTATTAGGAATGTTTGCATATATTCTTTTTGCTTCTATCTTCCTTCTGAATACAAATAAACATACTTTTTATTGCTGGTTAAAAGATGAATTTGTGTAAAAAGAGACCTGTCCTCAAAATGTTTCCAGTGTGCAAAAATGCATGGTTGCAAAATTAGTCTTCTTGGGTTCCAGTGGTTTTTTTGAAGTTTTGTATTTTCAGAGACTTCCCATACAATTCTAGGAAATATACTAAAAACACAGTTTGGATTTTCTTACTACAAAGCACTGATTTCTGAAGCAGGATTAATTATGATTTTCAGGCACAAATCTGCTTATAGTGCAACTTAAAAACAGTTAATATAAAAAGGACTTCTATTAATTGGGAATCTTCATCTCCCAAATTCATAACACGACTATGAAAAGCAATTGCCAATGGTCTGAATAATGTTCAGCAATAGACTAGCTTCCAGGAAACCTATTTCAGAAGTTTCTTCTGAATATCTTCCCAAAGATCAGTTAGATCCTGTACAATCATTCTCATGAAGGCAGAGTATAATACAATATAGTACAATGCACTATGACACACCAAGCATAATTCTTGTCTAATATTGCAAAATGATGTTGTGTAAGTGCCAAGAATTGATGCAAGATATCAACCACTTCAGAGAATGCATCATGTTGGTTATTTTGAGAACTGCTTGAGAAATAAAGTCCCTTAAAGCTGTCCCACTATTCATGTCTATTGCCATCAGGACTAGCAACCATGTATCCTTCACCTCAAACTTCTAAATTTAGCCCAGTGCTTTCAATTACAAATCCTAATATAATCCCTTAGGATCTTTTGCAGTGATTGCTATGCAGTTCTCATTGTCAAGTCCATCAACATGTTTTATACATACTTGCTGTTGTTACCTTCTAGATCTTTCAAGTTATCTTCTTGTACTTGCATATGAATGCATTTGTCTTGCCAAGACTAACTTCAAAGGAGTCAATGAACACCAAAGAACCAAGATCTGCTTTTTTGTAACTGAGGTGCTCTTCCCTTGTATCTTGAGATGAGGAAACAGTACCACAACTAATACTTTCTTGTTTGATATCTTGTTCAACTGATATCAAATTACTTTGTCTGCAATCAGTAGAAGATTCTGCCAAGATTGAACTCTCAGTCCGAGAGCCTTGGGCAATATCATTAGAAATACATTTATAAAGTTCTTGATTAAGTAACAGTACAACAGTCCCTCCAAAACAAAGCACCCTGAAAAATAATAGAGAGTAGTTAACTAATATATTCTTGCTTGGTTTCAATAACATTTATTATTTTATAAGAAATTTCCAGAATATCTAGTAGTTTACAATCTCTCTACTTTTATCTTTACCTTTCTATATGGTAAGATATACTAAGAGAAATCCTCTCAGTGAACATCCTGGTAAATGGATTTTAATATTGGGCTTCATACAAATTCCAGTTTTCTCTATATAGGCTAGTATTTCATTATACTTAATTGCTATATCCATTATTATCCAGCTGAAATAAATGACAATGATCAAGGTCTTAACTGCCAACTCCAACCCACCTCAAGAATTTTTGATGGATCTGGGCATGCAAAAACCTAAATGGATATTTATATTATAGATAGTCTTTGCTTACTGACTGCATATTCAGTAATTGAGGTAAGCCATGATGCAAAAAAAAAAAAAAAAAAAAACCCTTTATGGCCAATTTACAACCATTTACAACATGCTCAGCATCCCTCAATATTGTGATTGCTATTAGTACACATCATCCTGTGCCTGACCTCTTCCCCCTTTCAAAGTAGAGATTGGAGAGAAAGAGATTGCAAGAGAGTAAGCTGTTTGCTCCTCTACACATCAAAAATAATCTGACTGCACTGGTAGCGCAGGTCTAGAAATTGCAGGCACACTATGCAGAGTTTACAGTACTCATTCCTCCTTTCCAATCTCTCTGTTCTGTGGGGGAGGGAAATAATTTCTGTAGGTAACCTCTCTTTTGCCTGACCGTTTGCCTCTGCCCCTTGCAGAGCAGAGATTAGAGAAGAGATTTCAAGAGAGTACTGTAAGATTTACAATAAGAATGAGGAAGAACTATACCTGGAAGCTGTTCTAAACTTAACATAACAACATGATAACATAACAAAACAGAACTTTGACTGTAGCCTTGATTTCCCTGAGTCTAGGACACCTATACTAAACATAAGCTATTCTTATGTTTAGAACTGTGTCCTATATTCAGGGAAATCAAGGCTACAGTCAGTTCCTGGGGAAAGTAAGAAGCCTATTTTGAAAACACCCCCCTACCCCTTTTGAATCAAATTAACTTTGTCAGGAACTCTACTATATATTTCTCAGTATATACCCTATGACTTCTCATTCACTGACAGCATCAGCAGACTCCTGTATATTATTTGACCAGACCCAGCCCTTCTGAGCTTGTTAGCAATTAACAGCATCATATTTTTTTCATCCTATTTGAAACTATTATTTATGATGGATCCGTGGTGGTCTCTGAACTTGGTTGTTTTCTTGCAGATGTTTAACGTATAATGAAACAAACTAGGTAATATCACCAGTGCTCTGATCACTGATTAGGAATTAGTGAAACACCTATAAGTAAACAACCAAACTCAGACAGCATCAAGGACTCCTCATTTGATTCTGAGCTACAAATATTCTCCCTTATCAGTATTATTACTTATATTAGAAGATAAGTAATTACCATCAAGTAAAATTGTTTCTATCTAGTTATGTGTATTTGCATACATATCATATATGAAATCTCATTCTAATATTAATTCTTAGATTCCAGATAATTTGACCCATGTACCTTTCAAATTCTTGAAAAACTCTGGGAAGAAACTTCATGTCTTCTGTTAGTTTGAACTTTTTTCCAAATGGAATGTCTGTCAAAATGACATCAATGCTTTCTGACAGAAAGGGCAATCCTGCAGAGATAAAGTACACTTAAAAGGACTTAAAGTCACCGACTTAAACATAATTATAACTTCACATATCCCTTGGAAATGAAACGTTTAATTGTTACTCTGTTCTGCATTCAGAAGGAACTAAAAAAATGAAATCTATTTGGGCTTCTATTATTCTAGAATTCCCATTTATACATGGGGCAGAGACAGTATCCTGTATGGGACTCACTTTTTGCCAATTCCTCCTTGCACTGAGTTTCCTAGAGTCCCCCAAATTTCTACAGGGCTACAGTGGGAATCAACAAACAGTATTTCTTCATTTTGCTGCTGAAAGTATCACATAGGCTGAACAATCAGCATTGTTAAAAATTCCCTAGAACAGAATAACAGGAAACATTTCTGGAATCAAACTATCTTCTTTTCATATTAACCTCTTCACAATTAGCATTAATAACTGCTAGGCAAAACGTAGACAGACAATTCATATTTGAATTCAACAATTCAATTGCCATGAATTTGGGCAATACCTCACTTCCCATATTCAGTATACTATTCCATTACTGCCCATTGTCAAAGAGATGTTGTTAACATAAAAAACTTGCTTATCAAAGGCAAATATAGGATGTGTTCATATCTTGATCACCATTTGTATATCATAACTCTCTTTAATTATCAATTTCCAACCTTAATTCCAAAGACACATATATTAAATCAACTGCACAGAACAATTCTGGGAAAAAGAGTTTGTTACTTACATTTTAGTTCTATGAAGAAGACATTTGCAAGCCAATAAAAATAAAGCAATACAAATATCAAATTTTATACATTGTATATTTTTTATGTAATTTATACAAGGTACTCTTGTTAATATTTACCTGTAACAGAAGATTTAAATAGCTGAATTTTATCTGTCAGCCTTGCATCTCTAATATTTGAGTAGGCTCCTTGCAACTGTGAATCACTTATATCCGACCCGAAATAATACACATTCTGTGAAAGAAACAAACAATTACATTAAGATTTACACATTATTAATTTATTTACACTCATAAAATACAATATTTCCTTAAAGACAATAGATCACTGACAGGCAGGAAATGTAAGCTGGAAAAGACCCAGGAATTTAGTACCTCTGTCTAATATTTCTTCTAGCCATGAAAGCTAGATTTCTTGCTTTCTCATGGTCATTTAAAATATATTTTACTCACACCAAAGGCTAAAAAATATGTGCCAGTATGCTGTCAATACAAAACAAGCTTTGTATTGTTTCTGACCAAATAAAAT